AAAGTGATCTGCATATATTTTTGTTCACGTTTGTTCACTACACATTTAATTCTTTCTTGGAGCCTTTTTTAAATTAATCTTAAGACCAAAGAGAGATGGAATTAACTATTTCATAAGACATAAAATAAGATGACTGATGAAATATGTCATGTATTTATTGGTGTTAGAATAAAACTAGTGTAATTGAGGTTACCACCCAAATCCTAAACAAAGTACTTTTAATGTTTTTAAAAACCTTTAATTAGAACATTTATTTAGGCTTGATTAAGAACCCATCATGCAGATTTAGGACAAAAAGAACATTTTAAATTAAGCTGTGAATTAAAATAATCCAGTAGACCAGAGTTCAGTTCAGTCCTTCACACCGAGATCAGCAGAAGAAAAAAAACAGTCATACCAGAAGCAGAGAGACTTCACAGTTGTTCCTCATGGGAACTGAAACGACCTGAAAAGTTTCTTGTATTGTTGCTGTGAGGTGGAGGCACTCGCATACAGTGAAGGTAGGGCTGTTGGACAGGCTGTCTGTCTGCTGGGATCCAATGGACCTCTTTCCCGTTTTGATGTCGTACTAATTAAAATATCAGACGATAACTCCCCGTTAGCGCGTGATCATCGCCGCTCCCTGACATACTTCCTGAGCAGAACCTCTCTGAGGGGTGGTGTTTGAAACACAGCAGCGGACCACCCCCTCTTTCTCCTCGTCCTGATGTGTGTTTGTAAGTCCTGGTCCTGTACTCTTGGCTCAGTCTACAGGAAACTCAGTGAACCAGGTTACACTGGCTCTCCGACACTTTAACATTAAAGTATGTTTGAAACAACACTTTAACTCAAGGTGTTTAAAAATACTTTAGGTGCTTTTGTGAATGAACTTTTTGGTAGTTGCAAATGTTGCTTTTACAGCTTTTTGTTGCCATGTCCTCCTAACTTGTTTGAGATGTGTTGCTGCCATCAAAGTCAAAATGAACTAATATTTTTCTTTAAAAGGCTCATTTTCTTAGTTTAAACATTTAAAATGTTTCATGGATTCTATTGTGAATAAAATGTGGGTTTATGAGATTATTGGAAATTGGCCGGCATTTGTATACGCTGCACTAAGATGGCCTGTATTTGTATAGCGCTTTACTCAGTCCCTAAGGACCCCAAAGCGCTTTAC